TCTGTTTGTAACTGTTTTATCTGCATTTTTAAACTCAGACCCACCTTTAGTGGATTTATTTGATCTGGGGGGAAATTTTACAGACAAAAAACAATCAGGCGAGTCTTGCTACAGGGATGTCGTTTACATGCATTAGGAGGTGGGCTGAATGCTGGAAGCGTTGCTGCCTGGAAGACCCGGCTCCAGATCCTGACAGGGATCAGGAGAGCTGCACCGGGAACACATCTAAGGAACAGGACTCGGTTCCCCGGCTCTTCCTGTTCCGACCTGAGAACAAACCGCTCCTTTCACAGCTGAAACGCCTCTCGTTTGATGTTCCGCCACCTCGACCCAGAGCCTTTCTGATCTGCTGTCAGTGGGCCTCCAGTGATGTAACCGACGCAACAGAATTTCACCTGCAGCAGAAAATCCACAAGCCTTGTTAAGTTAGATCAGAAGATTGGCAGCTTCATGCAGCCAAGTGCAAGATGACCACCTGCATTGTTAGTAGGTGCAGTGACGCACTCAGCAGCTCAGGATGGAGAGAACAAAGGACCAAAATGGACAAACAGACATGCAGATGGACAGAGAGACGGCTTGGAAGATGTGCTGGAGTGGGCGCCGGCCGGGGAAGCCGCGTTTTGTTTTTGTGTGGGGATGACAAAAACACAAAGTAGTGATCATCACACAAGCTGAGGAGTCTTCACCCACACGGTGCTGCAAACCTGCTGAGTGGGTGGCTGGCACAACGCTGACTGAGTGAGTGACGGGCCATGGTGGCATTTAGACAAAGTTTAAATCAGCAGGCGGCCATGACTGCACACACACACACGCGTGGGTGTGAGAAGGGAAGGCCAGTAAGGTTCTGGTCCCGGATGGTCAGTGGGCACCAGAACTTGTGTGTCCACAGGTCCAGAGGGTGAAGATCTGGAGGTGTGAGGGAACAATAACACGTAGCGTGTGATGGATCCCCTCATTACTCATTTGTTTATCATTCCTGCAGCTCTCTTGGCACAATGAGGAAACCGTGAGTGTGTGTGTGTTGTACGCAACCGTGCGCACGCCCATATGTGTAGCACCCTCCTCCATCAAACATTCATCCATTCATGTGTTGGACCTCCTGTGTTTCTATGAATGGCTGCACTTCTGTCAGTCCGAGCAGCCGTCCACCAGTTTTTCTCTTTAGTCAGACGAGCTGAAATATTTTTTCCAAGGTCGGCTCTGACCTACTCCACTGCTTCTCTTACGACTAAAATCTCATCAAAAGATGCAAAAGCTTTTTTTCTCCTCAACATTTTCTTTTCTTTTCTCTCCCAGCCGTGTTCAGCCTCCTCCTGCACAGATATTTATGCTTATTCGTTCACAGATGACATCATGACCTGCAAAGCCGTTATCTAAACTGAACATTCAAGTGGAAAAGCTCCTCCTGTCGTAAAGGGAATGAAGAAACATCCTTAAACTTTAAATTATCTATAAAGTAAATAAATCTGGAGTAAAAAAACAATCTGGATAAAGATATTTGAGACGCCATTAATCTTTTTATATTTGAAGCTGATTGGACCATCCAATTGTCGGTCTCACAGACATCAAATATGTAGATGCCCTGTGGACTGGTGCTGCCAATTAAAACTGCTGTAGTGGCCGGCTGCCATCTTGGATGGGTCTCCGTTCGCCCAGAGTTATTTCTACTGAGGAAAGTGCTTACCCAACTAAAATACACATTATATAATGCGCTTTTCACATTGTATGGCGTGATAGTTAAAATATAAATATAATTAAACAAATCAAATAAAAATATAAAATCCCATCAGGTGGGCTAGAAAAGTCAACATTAATCCCATGTGATCTGTTTTCAATAGTACGCTGGTACTAACCATGCGTAACCGTAGGCTGCACAAAAAACGGGCAGTTGCTCACTCTGCATTTACTTTGGAGAGTGAGAAGACCCATCCAATATGGCAGTGATGCTGTTACGCCCTCCAGTGCCCAATGGGGCGTCTACGAATTCATGTCTGTGGTCGGTCTCAACAAACCGCCACACTTCCCTGGGTTCTCCACTCACGTATTCAGCAACAGAACACCACTGATGTGCGAGGTTCTCCGCTCAGCAATACCACAGAAGGAGAAACAGCCGGCTGCTACCACTTCAACTTAAGGACAAACTACCAGAGTCCCAAAAAGAAAAACACCATTTGAAGTTAAGGACAACAAAAGATGTTTGGGTGTAGAAATGGCGACTGGTGTTTAGTGCCATCTCGTTTCCTCTGGCAGTGCAGGTTTCCAGTTCTGGCAGAAGCGTCTCAGGGAAGATACCCAAGAGGAGGGGTGAGTGTTTGAGTTCAGAGCCTAGCTTGTTCTGTAGATTTGTTATAACAGCTTTAACAAGGAATAATCCAAAAATTTCCTTATCTAACATCTACAAAAATTCATATTACTCAACGCTTTTACTTGCAGGAAAATAAAAACAGCTGCAAAAATCACCACTAACAACAACGAATGAGGCTGCATAAAGACTGCTTTGTGACGGTTCTACAGTTATTCATAAACATTTAACTGGCAGTGAATTACTAAATAGAAGTTCTGAAAAACAAACCTTGTACCTTCTTAGAAGAAAGCCGTCGCTTTCACAGAATAACTCTAAAAGCCCTTCAGAACTTCAACAGACTCACAACATAAGAGGAGAAAAGGCTGAGGGGCTGTGGGCGTGGCTTCACCTCCTCTGACCCAAGCAGAAAATGCAAACGACAAATCTCACTGTGTCTTTTACATGAGACCAAACAAATCTCTCCCAAATGACCACAGAAGATTTGTACCTGCATAAATATTCAAACTGGGACTTCTGAGCTTTGTTTCTTGAGTGTTTCTACTATTTATTGTTCTTAAGCTGCAAAAGATGGAAATAAAAGTGTCAAATTAATTAAAATTTCAAGGAAAAAATTAATTTTGGTTGCACGACTTTTAGAGAAGATGAATAACCTATTTTATTTATTGTTACTTTTTGCATCCTATTCTGCTGCCATGGATCTCTACTACATCTATAAACACTCCAAACATGAATAAAACCCGCCCATACGTGGTCTGTCAGTGTTTAGGAATTACATGCCTATACAAGCTGTTTAAAAAAGTTCCAGTTTGTGATGTCACAATAAGGAAAGTTATCATAGACCCCTTTCCCACCACCTTTTAAAAGAAGAAGAAAGTATCATTTATATATATATATATATATATATATATATATATATATATATATATATATATATATATATATATATATATATATATTGTTATGGAGGAGCAGCGGCTCTACTCCAAGCCCTTACTGGATAGCAGAGCTTCTCAGCTTATAGCAGACAATCATGGGATGGGTGGGCGTGGCCAACTCTGGTTTGTTTTTTTAACGTGACTGAGCCCTGAAACGGCTCGTTCTGGAAGGTACTGAAATTTTCAAGAATAAAAATGCTGAAATTGGTTTATTTGAGAGGATTTTAGTGCAGAGTCTCAAAAATGTGTTTTGTATCATCTAAAAAAAACTAGTATAAAAATTCTCATTTAAAGAAAATGGATCACACTTTTGTAAACTTTGTACAAAACAACAAAAACCAAACAAAATTCCAACAACAAAACAAGCGACAAATGAATAAATTAAATTAAACAAAGTACCTCGTTGAAAAACCTCTATGTTTGTTGTTAATGATGTCTCATGGTGTTTCTGTCAAATGTTACTGTGTAGTTTGAACTCAACCCGGTTAACTTCCTCATATTATTGTTTATTGCCCAAAAAGTGGCAGCAACAGAGCATCATGAATAACACCAACCAGGTTCCATTTCTTCTTCTGCATTTTACTTTTATTTATTTTTTTGCTTTGCTGGTCAGATTGTTGAGCTGCAGGAAGTAAAGTTACTTGTCTTACTTTTGCCAGCTGCTTGGCTGTTGCATTATTTAGAGAGTAAAACATTAAACAGTTTCTGCTCTGAAGCTCTGGCTGCATGCTGGTTTGGTCGGTAGAACTGCAAGGAGAAGGTCGTGGGTTCAACTCCCATAGCAGGGAGCTTTCTGCTCCAAGTTTAATGTTCCCTGGCTGACTAGGTGTGTGTGTGTGTGTGTGTGTGTGTGTGTGTGTGTGTTTTATCTGTTAAGTTGTCACAGAAACCGGCTCCTCTCCAACCCTGAACAGGATCAAACAGGTCAAGAAAACACGTGAAATATGTCAGTAAACGGAGTTCGTTGTTCATCTTTTGCATAAATCCGTCACAGCCTTTTGATCTGCAGCCTCAAGAACACGTGATCATAACAAATACAGAAGATCAGTTGCTGCAGCTGCTCACGCACGCTTGAGGTGCGCGCACTGACTTGAAGTGGCCTCATACATTTGGACATCCGATGCTGCGTGTCATCTCTTTTGCGCTGGATTAATCCCCCCCCACACACACACACACACCAGCAACAGAGAAACTGACCAAGCGGATTTATTTGCAAACGTTCACATTTACATATCTCCTCTGATTTACGCACGTACTGAGAAAATAACCCTCTCTTCGTTTGGATGCCATTCCATTCCTCCATCATCACTAATTATGTCACGCGCTATAATTAAAACACCAACAGGCCAAATTAACCTCCACAACAAACTTGCCTCAATCTAGTTTGTTATGAGTGACTCGGGCTGACTCAGAATTCGGGGGCATACTGCCTTCCCAAGACAGAACCATCTAAGACTGCTTTCTGCTTCTCTGTCTGGCTGCAGCGCGCCGGAAACAGACCATAACAGTCTCTCAGAACTCCATCCAGGAAACGAGCCTCTCCTACCCGTTCTCTGCTCCTCCACACAGCCCAGTCATCAGTACCGGGCACCGTGCCTTTCGGCTCCCGCCCTCCCCCCCTCCCTCCCTCTTGATCCAATGTGCGTCGGACAGAAGTCTCCTCCTCTCCGATTCTGAGCGCACGTCTCCAAGCAGCTTTTACGCGCGTAGAAACTCAAGAGAATCCCCTGCAGTCGGCCCCTCCCCTTTCCGTTTCTTGCCGCCCTCATTCATTCATGACCCCGGCTGGTGACGTAGGAGATTCCACGTTGCCCACTGCCGTAGGCAACGACGGCATGCTGGAGTATATATGGGACACTGGTAGCCGAGAACAGGCACACTCTCAGTCGCTCCGACTCGGGAACCAGAGCATCAGCGGAGATAGCAGGCTTTACTTCGCCCTAGTAGGCTAACTCGCTTTGGGCTTTGGTTCAGGATGGACAACTCTTCTGTTTCTCGGAGCCGACGGAGCTCCATCATGCGCAACTGCAAAAGTAAGTTTGTGCTCTGGCTTTGGACGCATCATGGATGAAGTTTTGATGTTGCAGCTTTGTGATCGTGCGGCTTTTGTCAGATTTTATTTCCCCTAAAGGAATGTTTGCTACGTTTAGTACTGAAAACTGGATGGATGATAAAAAGAAAATGTTATTAGTTTTTTAGGAAACGGATATAATTGTGATTTTTGGCATGTGTGAGGTGTCAAGCTACATGAAAAGAGAAGTTCTGATAAAGTTTTGGAAGTCTTTGCTGTGTTTTGAGTGAGGTGTTTTATAATTATGCTGTGCGTAATGGCTGACGCAGGGCAGCGCTGGCTGCGTAAGATCCTCTTACTGGAGTCAAAGTTCCACACAGGGTTCCTTCTGTTCTAATGCATCATTAAAAGCTAAACTATTTGTTATATTTTCCATAACATATATAAAAAAGATAAAGTAGATGATAGAAATGAGTGCAGGAGTGTTTGGGTGGTTTAAGCACCATGGACAGCGCTCACCTCCTTCCCTTTCTCTGCCCGCTCTCCTCCAGGCGGCCTCTCCCTCTGGCTGGTGGTCTGGCTGGTCCTCGGCAAGCCAAGTCCGGCATCGGCGTGTCCGCACCACTGCGTGTGCTACCCGACGCCCATGACTGTGAGCTGCCAGGCGCAGAACTTCACCGCCGTCCCCGTTGGGGTGCCGTACGAGTCTCAGCGCGTGTTCCTCCAGAACAACCGGATCACGGAGCTCAGAGTTGGCTCTTTTGGCTTCGGAACTCAGGTAAGAATGACTCGGTGCAGGAAGCATTTCCGGTGTGAAGACGCTCAGAATTTAAAATGGTCTTTTGTATTTTAGAATAAACAAAATAAAAGGTCAAAACTCAGCTCTGATGCTCTAATGTCTTCCTGTAGGTTCTGTGGCTGTTTTCCAACAACATCACGTGGATCGAGGCAGGAGCTTTTAGTGAGCTGAGGGACTTGGAGGAGTTGGACCTGGGCGACAACCCGAACCTCCACAGGCTGGAGGGAGGCGCTTTCCGTGGTCTGGAGAAGCTCCAGAGCCTCCACATGCACCGCTGCCGGCTCACTGCTCTGCCCCATGACATCTTCCACAAGCTGTACAGCCTGCAGTTTCTCTACCTGCAGGTAGGGGCGCAGCACAGACAGCCAACGGCTCACTTGCAGCCACCCACATTTATTCTTCTACTCACAGCATCACGTGTCCGGTTACATATTTCACACACCAGAGCCAAGACTGTTCCTTTCCTAACGCTGAACTCTCGTTTAAAATCTTTTCCAGGAGAACAACCTCCACTTTCTGCAGGACGACATCTTTTCTGACCTCATCAACCTGAGCCAGCTGTTCCTGCACGGCAACCGCATCCGAACCCTTTCAGAGAATGTGTTCCGTGGTTTGGTCAACCTGGACCGCCTTCTTCTCCATGACAACCGCATCAGGCAGGTGAACCGCCGCGCCTTCCGCGACCTCGGCCGCCTCACCATGCTCTTCCTCTTCAACAACTCCCTGGCCGAGCTGCCCAGTCAGACCCTGAGGGACACCCAGGGCATCGAATTCCTCCGTCTCAACGCCAACCCCTGGGCCTGTGGCTGCGAGGCCCGCCCCCTGTGGGAGTGGTTCCGCGAGGCTCGTGTTTCCTCTTCTGAAGTGATCTGTGCCTCCCCTTCAACCCGCCGTGGCCAGGACCTCCGGTTTCTCCGTGAGATGGACTTCGCCCTCTGCCCCCTGCCCGATCCAGGTTCCATCGCTGGCTCCACCACCACCACATTCAGCACCAAAACCCGTTGGTGGTTCCACAAGAACAAACCCCAGTCCTCCACGAAAGGCATCTTTGAGAAGTCGTCAGAAACTGTGAAAGCTGGCTTGTATGGAAAGAGCCCATCCACGACCACCTCAATAGTCAAGTATGAGCTGGGAGAAGAAGAGCTGGCGTTGCCCAAACTCGACCCAGAAGAGTACTGGGCAAATTACGGCAATGAGGACTCAGGCGTCACCTTAAGGTGCTTCGAGCTCGAGTGCCCACCTGAGTTTGACCTGACTCCATCCTCCTCCTCTCCTAGATCCTCCTCTCTCTCTTTACTTCAACTACTGGCCCTTTCTCTCTTCACCTTCTGCTTCAACCTCCATCTAGTTTTTGGCTGAACTGGTCCCTTAGTGGCACGCCCCTTCCCTTCCAGCCTGTTTTAAAGGCCGAGGGGTGCCTGTTAGACACTCCATACCCCCTTTGCCCACTCTGCTGTAAGCTAATCCTCAAGGAAAAGCAAGGGAGATGGGGGGAGGCTAGATTCTCAATCTAACACTTATAGGGCTCAGCACTTTTCAGGGCTGCTAAGAGTTCTTCAGCCACGATCTTAATTACTTACACAATGATCTACAGGCATGACTTTTTGTGTCTTACCTGTATGATGTCATGTTGCGACTCCCTGCGATCAGGGCTACGAGGGCTGAGTCCGTCACCGGTACAGTCTGATGGGAGTCGTGAAGGGTGTCGTCATTTTTGTCACCTCAGCTTAGTGCGATTAGTGCATCCAGTCACCTGGCTGCCACCGATGCTACGATTACTGTTAGAGTCAGTGTACAGTAATTACACTACTGTAACCACTTAAAGTGTTGTGTAAATAGCTATGTACCCCGTGAGTGTTCGGTCTGACATTCGTGCTCCAGCACAATCTCGTCTCATTCGATTCCAGGAAAACTGTGAAGGCTCGTGCCTCTACGTGACAGAGCACTATGCACCGAGATGGGAAGTGATAGGAGGGGAAAAAAATCAATACGCTGTGAAGAAGGGATGGAGAAATGCCACAGGAAGAGGAGAAAGAAGCAAAACGACAGGGATAGACTCTATAAATGACAGAAGAGCAATAAGAAAAGGTCTGGGAGCATAAGTTAGGTACAGTGTTGGCAGTAGAAGCAGCAACTTGCAGGGAATTAGTAATAAATCCGCTCATCCGTAGTTGTTCCACCCATCCGACTCGTGTAAATACGGTGTTGTTTAGCGACAACCACATGGAAGAATGCTTCCTGTCAGGAAGCCAGAGATTCTGCTTTTGGATGTCTTTCTGTGACATATTGATATAATGTGCAATGATTGTTAAATTAAATGCCAATGAAGATCTTGATAAAAAAAAGATACTCTGAATATTTCCTGTATCACGCTTCTTTTTTAGGAACCACATTTGAAAATGTTTGGGGGGCGTTGAGAGTAGAGAAGAACACAGAAGTGCACACAGACCAGTAGAAAGGAGCAGATTGCTGCTTGGTGACAAACCTGTGACTAAAAAAAAGCTAGAGGACTTACAGGACTGACCACACGATGACACGCTGCGGTTCTGGCTCAGACGGCATCTGTGTGTGCACACAAGAGGATGAATGGATTCACATGTTGGCTGTGCTGCAAAAGGCAAACACGTCACTAGTTTTAACACTTCTGACTCGCAAAGGAGCGATGCCAAAACGGACAGGCGAGGTGCAAATTGGACATTTTGTGAATAAACGAAGAGCAGTGAGAGAGTCTAATGCCAAGGAGATAAATTAAGACTGACATTCAGGCTGATGTGGACTAACGGAGTCAGAGAAGTCACATCAGCAGGAAAAAGGGAGGAGGAAGCCAAATATAGGCATCTAGTGGTCCTCCTTGAGCCGGTTATACATTTATCATGTAGGCAATAAAAACGTGTGACTGCTCCTGTTTTCCACCTCTGTCCTCACTGCTTTCCTAAAGCTCCCTCCATGTCTCAAGGGCAGAGAAGGAGCCTTTGATGGGGTGACTGGTGGAAGGCCGAGATGTAGTGGGAGTGAGATGGTGGGTGGCGACCTTCCTGATCCACGCTCATCCACAAATACGCTCACAGATACAATCAGAGAGGCAGTTGGCCTCGCAACAGCCTCTGTCGGGCTTTGGGATTTAGAAGAAACCAGCACACGCACACGCACACACACACACACACACACGATTGCGGGAAATATTCAGTGCCATCTTGTTGTTTCGTCTCCTAACGAGTCTCCTGGAGGAGGTCAGACTGAGCCCGGGTGCTCTTGGGTGACAGCAAGGTCGCTTTCAGACGACCAAAGTGCCAGTTATACCATTTCCCCCAGTTTCCACGTCCAGTTTGTCGATCTGCATGTTTCATGTTTTGTATCTAAGAGAGAAATAATATTAATATACCATAGATCAGCTTCTTTGTTATTTATTTTTACTGTATGAGAAGAAAATATGTTCTGGAGAAAATAAATTCATACTTGTTTTAACAAAATCGCTCTATTTTACTTGTGTGGGAGTTTTATTCTATGTTTTTGGCGACGAGTCAAACACCCAAAGCAATCAAAGTACACACACACACACACACACACACACACACACACACACACACACACACACACACACACATACACACACACACACACGATTGGGTCCATCGTTGTTTCTTTAAAACTGTTCGTAAAAGTAAAAGCGATAAAGCTCGTGCTGAACGCTGCTCTAAAACACTCGATCAGCTGGTTTCTTTTTAAAAATGAACCAAAACCATGAATGAATAATCAAAAAATCAAAGGAGAATTTGTTAGAACAGCTGACTGTGTCACAAACGTTCTCGCACGTTTAAGGAACACAGAGTTTGATTTTTCCACAAAGTTATTAATAGAAACAAACGTTTTATTGAATTAAATCCAAACGTTGTGAGCAAAAAGAAAGGTAAACATAATGGAGGCACCAACGAAAGTGTCAAAATCAGCTAAATATTGATTCTAATAAGTAAACAGAGCACACTGTTTTCTGGATATAAAACAAACATTCACACACAGGAATATTAACTGAAAACTTTGTTTCAAGAGTCTTTGTTAGTTCACCACATCTTTGCTTCGACTTCGACTATTTAAAGATAAATGACCCGCACAGGTTTATGTTTATGTATTTAGCAGACGCTTTTGTCCAAAGCGACTTACAAGTGATAATCGGCATGTTGCCCTTGAGGCTAACAACAACAATAACAACAACAACTTGACATCAGACAGGGAGAGGAGGGAACAAGGAGTGGACAGTAGAGAGGGGGACGGGTGCAGGGATGGTGCTAGTTTAGAAGATGCTCTCTGAAGAGCAGGGTCTTCAGGAGTTTCTTGAAAATTGAAAAGGAAGCCGCAGTTCTGGTAGTGCTTGGAAGGTCATTCCACATTTGTGGAACGATGCATGAGAAGAGTCTGGATTGTCCTGAGCGTGGTGTAGGCACTGCTAGCCGACGATCCTGTGACGACCGGAGCGGCCGGGCCGAGACGTAAGCCTTTGCAAGAGGATTCAGGTCGATGGGAGCCGTACCGTCTCGGACTTTGTATGCTAGTGTTAGCAATTTGAATTTGATGCGTGCTGCTAGCGGTAGCCAGTGGAGCTCAATGAACAGAGGGGTGACGTGTGCTGCTAGCGGTAGCCAGTGGAGCTCAATGAACAGAGGGGTGACGTGTGCTGTTTTTGGCTGATTGAAGACCAGACGCGCCGCTGCGTTCTGGACCATTTGAAGAGGTCTCACAGTACAGCCTGGAAGACCAGTTAGAAGGGCGTTGCAGTAATCGAGGCGGGAGATGACAGTAGATTGCACCAGGAGCTGGGTGGCATGCTGTGTTAGGTATGGTCTGATCTTTCGTATGTTATGCAGCGCAAAGCGGCATGAACGCTCACACCTCTCTGAGTCAGAGGACTCCAAAGTGCTTTATACTACAGGGAATAATTCATTCATTCACACACCGGAGGCGGTGTGGCCACAGCTGCCCTGGGGATCACTGAGAGATGAAAATGTTTGCTCAGGTGAGAAGTTCCTGTCGTGTGTGTGGAGGTTCTAGGTTAACTACAGTCATGATGATTATTGATCACAGTTCAGCGTTATTGCAGAAATGGATCAGCATCGTTCTGGAGCTGTCGGGATGTTTTCTCTCACAAGGTGGTACAAATAAACCAAATTTTGAAGCTTAGCTTTGCTTTAGGCTCAAAAATCTGCCAAATGTTCCCCAGTTTTAGAAAGAAACATGGAAGTTACCATGACAATAAATATTACTCACAATATGGTGGAAAGTTGACCATTGAGCAGGATTGATGGTTTATCCCTTGGGTCCACGTGACAGGGGTGAGGAGTGAGCACCACCTCACCCCTGTCACATGGACCTCAAGGGATAAACCATCAATCCTGCTCAATGGTCAACTTTCATCGCAGGGTCACACCCATTAGGACAGTGGGAGGGTTAAGAAAACCGGCATGAGGACTGGGGGGAATATTTACAGTAAGTACACAAACAACAACCTAGAGCCTCTTTTATGCAAGATCCGGAATGCAGAACTGTCAAGTAGGAGGTGGCAGGAATGGCCAATCACACGTTAGCAAGTATCAGCTGAGCCAATAGATGAGCTTATAGACGGTTCTACTGGAAAACAGGCTTCAATACAAGCGGTTGTCTTCCGCTTGGTCCTAGTGGTCAACCAGTGTCCCCCCAAACCTACGCCCATGTGTGTAGGTACATTAAAGACAGCAGGTCAGCGTTTCGTTAACTTGAAGGTCAGTTTGGCCAAGTTTACCTTTACATTCCTATAATTTGACTTAGTTGTGAGAAGAAGCTCTCGTTATGTGAAAACCTCTCCAACACACGGTTTATAACAGACACGTGTAACGTCCGCGTGTGTAAAAGTATCTCTGTCAGCACACACCTGCTGAGAGACACTTTCACGTCTACACGGACACCAGACGTCTCCTCTGTGAGTGTCCTGGACCTCCCGCGGTGAGGCGGGTCATCGCGTTCTTCGTGACCGACCCCTAAACCGGGATCTCGCTGAGCCGAGGCTGCTGGCAACAGACTTAACGCCCAGGGAGTTCCCAGAGTGTCCAGAAACATTTGTGAAGGTTAACGACTGCTTCGCACGACTCATGGTTGGCCTCGTGTTCTGGAAACGTTTTGGGTTTAACCAGAAAGTCAGAAAAACGTGAGACGACTCTGGGAAGAGTTGTCAAGCAAATGGGAAATAAAAACTGGGAACAAACCGAGACAACATTTTGTGACTGATTTGTAAAACCAAATTTGCACTTTGGCACACGTCCCACTATGCTACATGTGAATGAGCCAGATCTTTCATACGATTTCTTAGCCTCCTAAAAGAAACTGGAGAAGAAAACCACGGGTTGGATCGAACTCCTTCAGACTCAGGAAAGATGTTTTTAAGTGAAAAGAAGCAGCAACTGTCAAAAACACTCCAGACCCTTGTAGAAGATCGCTGTTATTTCATGAACTTCTCTGTACTTCTGAAAGTTTTATGAGAGAAGCGTTGAAAAGAAGCACGCAGAACCATCAAGTCCTTTCTTTAAGAAAACATCCTGATTTAAAGGGACATTATGGAAGTTTGACAGCCAAAACATGAATAGAAATAATAAATGTCTTCTTCATACATTCTCCTGCAATGCCCTGGTCCTGTAGAATGAGCCCTGGCATTTTTACTGTGATTGCCTGTTTTTCTGTAAAATCACAGAAAAAGAGAGATGCTCGGGTCGAGCAGGCTGCTTCATGTGCGTTCACGCTCAGGCATCGCCCGTAGCATTTGCTATCCGTAGCTTTAGCAGCAGAGAGAGAGGCAGTGCCACTTTGTCGCTGTTCCCAACGCCTAGTGACAAACCTAGCTACATTTCTGAGGACCCTTAGCTACTTTCTGTAGAACTTTCTTCTAGATATATCCTGCAAATTAGCAACAAAATAGCCATTTTCACTCCGAACCGTTCTTTGGATTAACGTTGTTTCAGCTGTCATCAAGGATATAAATGTTACAGATACTATAAATCTGACTCTCATGCAGAAGACTTGGGTTTGATTCTGGGTGTGAACGTAATTTATTTAGAGTTTCTTTTTTACATTAATGGTATATTTTTTTACAGTAAGATGCCCAAATTTTTATTTGAGACTCGCCGAACGGCATTGAATTCACAGATAAAAAAGATGTGGGTTCAACTTTTATTTTGGAACAATTTTTCAAGCAAGGGAAGGGAATGATCTGAGCATGCAGGAGGACTGACCCATCATAAACCTTTGTCGGCTGTGCTGAAGAGAAAGGTACAGAACCAAATTATTTCATTAATTAGCTGCGTGTTCTCCTGTCCTCCGGGCCACACACACACACAC